TTTCTTGAATTGTAGAGAAAAATCATTTCCTGGTCTGTCAAGTGTGCTGGTACAAGACATCTACGATTTAACATTGTGAACATTGTGCATCACTGAACCTTAGCCAAGGTTGGCATCTCTTTCTCCTCCTTGCCCCCCTCCCCATCCAGGAGGAATGCTCATTTACAAACTCCCAGCAGTACTCCATTTGCTTCTTGCTGCCAGTTATTACTTTGAATTCCCTTTTGAATGAAAAAAGAAATGTAAAAACTGTGTAACACACCAGGCTGTTTAAAAAAAAAAAAAAATCTCTGTGGTAAAGAGTAGTTATGACTTACAATATTAAAAACATTACTGTAATTAATCCTGGCAACTGTAAGATTGGATTTTGGGAGAAGAAACTATTTTATGAATGGATTTGTTTCTCTGGAACTAAATGAAAAAAAAAAAATCCTGGCAAACGCTAAAAAAGGTAAATAATTACAAATAAGATAAAAACATCTTATCATTTGCAACCATGTTTGACTATAAAAAGCACCATGTTTGAACTTTCACAAAGTAGAAATAATTTGGTGTGCCCATATCTTTCCTTTTACCATTTGATCTCATAGGCATAAAAAATGCATTTTAATAAGAGCTCATCAAATTGTATTCTTCAAATATCGGTCATATGTTGTTGCTGAAATTCAGGAAAGAAACTTTCAAGTACTTGTACTTGATCACAACCACTTTTCTGACTGCTGTTAAAAGTCCAGTATAGAGTTACACATTTAAGAACATAAAGCTGTGCAGTCATATTAATGGAAGGCTTCACCACAACACACTTTCACCATTGCGCATGCAGCCCTCTCCCAACCCCCTTGGGGAATGGGAGAAGAAAGCAGGAACAAGGCAGAGGAAATGAGGAAAGGGGAGGAGGGACACAGGAGTGGGAAAAATCAAAGTCTAAAATTTCAGGGATCACTGAGGGCTGAAGGTCGACCATAGAAGGAAAGGGAGGCTTGGAACAGCAGATGTCAAATTTGAGGGAAATTAAGGTCTCCAAAATAGCAAGCACACACACACTCACACAAACACACTTTTATAGAGTACATTAAGTAAAGGAGGAGTATGCCTGATAGGTGGATGTAGCTTACACCATATCTATGTGTCAGTGTCTGTGTGTAGATACAGTAAGGTATCTCACTTTGGATTACATATGCAAAACAAACTGGAAAGGGGACCACTGCTTGGCCACCCACGAGAGCATTTTTCACACAGCCATTTCATCTGAATCGTCTTCAACATCAATAACCACAACATCATGGTAATCATTAGTAGCAGTGGTGACTACAGTAGTGTCAGGAATGTCAGTGATGGTGTCAGGCTGCAGCTGGCTGACAGCAGGCTTGGTGGGTCCAGTGGCAGGACTAGAGGCTGACTCAGGGAGGTCACTGTCATCAGACTCAGGGGGAGCAATGGCAGGGATCTCGGAGCAGTGTGAGGCAGAGAGCTCAGGGTGGTCAGCAGCAACGAGCTCAGGATGGCTGGTGATGGCAGGCTCGGGATAGTCAGCAGCAGTGGGCTGAGCGTGGCTGGAAGCAGGCTTGATGTGGCCAGTGGTAGGTTTAGGATGGCTGGTGGCAGCACTGAAGGCAGACTTGGAGTGGCTGCCAGCAGAGACACAGTGACCAGTGATGGGCTTATGGTGGCTGGAAGCAGGCTTGAAATGAACAGAGTCAGCCTTGAAATGGACAGAGTCACCCTTGAAATGGACACAGGCAGGCTTGAAATGGACAGAGGCAGGCTTAGGGTACACAGTGGCAGACTTGGGGTAACCAGAGGCAGGCTTGGAGTGCCCAGAGACAGACTTGAGGTGGACAGAGGCAGCCTTGGAGTAGCTAAAGACAGTTTTGTGGTGGGTAGAGGCAGATTTGCGATAGGCAGAGGAGGATCTGGAATGGGGCTTAAGGTGGCCAGAGACACGGTTGGGGTGGTCAGCTGCAGCACCAGGTAGTGGAACATTCCGGACATTCATTGGAGTTTCCTCCACAGCAGGACAGGCATGGGGACTGTCTTGTTCAAGGGCTTGTTCATGGGTTTGGTCATGAGCACGGGCACGAGCGCAGGCCAGGGCACAGGCCTCCTGCATCTCACGAATGTCAGTGATGAGGCCAGAGAAGAATAGGATAGGGTGCTGCATAGCATGGAAGATGGTCCAGTATTCTCTTCGGAAATTTTCATTAAGGAGCCCATAGATCACAGCATTGAGGCAGCTGTTGAAGTAGGCTATGAAGTAGGCTGCAAGATAAAGCCAGTTCGGGATCTTGCCTGCCATCTCCTTTGGACTAACAGCCACCAAGACAGTGAGCACATTGATAGGGCACCAGCACACTGCAAAGAGGAGGAAGATCACAAACATGGTTAGAAAATTGCGAACCTCGGCAAGTTGGTTGTCAGGATTCTGCCCGGCAGGGTCACGGGCCACCAGGACTTTGGTCCAGATCCTCACGTAGCAGAAACCCACGATGAGGAGAGGGAGGACAAAGTGGATGCAGACGATGGTAACAGCGAAGACAGAGTTGTTCAGATAGTTGAAGATGCAGGTGTAGGTACGAGGATCATACTCGATGGTGCCAATGTACATGTTGGGCAGGACAGCCAGGATGGTCATGATCCAGGTGACAACCAGGTAGATGCAGGTATTGCGCACACTGAAGATCCGCTCGTACTGGAGGCTGTGGCAGATGTAGCAGTAACGGTTGATGGCGATTGCCACGATGTTGAAGATGGAGCCAACCACACTCAGCCCTGTGATGAATCCTACCATCTGGCACTGTAACTGGCTCAGATCCCAGCCCCCAATGGACATGGCATGCAGCATCAAAGGGTATGGGTAGATGGCCACCAGCATATCAGCCACAGAGAGACTGACCACAAACATGTTGCCTGAAAAACATAACAAGGGAGGGAGAAAAGGGAAAGACAGAGAAGAATAAATGGTTTAAGTACAGAAATCTACATATTTAAGGTGCAGGGGAAAGCCAGCTGCATTATGAACATTTAGAATTCTGGAAATCTTTTAAAGAAATGCAGTTATGTTTTTATTTTTATTTACAAGCAGGTCCTACATGGCTCTGATGAGCAGCCAGGTTTGGGAGACCTGAACTTTGCCCACCTTTTTTTCCTTTCAGAACGACGCCAGCTCTGCTATGAGAAAGAAGTAAACATAAGGCAGACAGCAGTGAGCACAAAAGACCTACCAGGGGCCTTCACAATCAGACAGGACCATGCTGCCACCATCTTAGAGAAAAACAGAAAGCAAACGCTTCCCTTACTGGAGGTGAGGGGGAGGGAGAAGGAGGAGGAGAGTAGAGGTGAGCTAGAGGGACCTGTCCTTAGGAAGGAGGCTGGAGAGTGGGAGACAAGGAGAGACACTGGAGGGAAGCCTCAAGCTAAAAAAAAAAAAAAAAAAAAAAAAAAAAAAGAAAGAAAGAAAACATAATAACGTAATAACGTAATTAGAAAAAGATAAATTAGCCATCTTCCTCCTAAAGTCTCGCATTGCATTTATAACGAACACATTACTAGAGAGAAGATTCTGAGAAAAAGCATTAGAGACCATCTTCTTAAACAGTCTTTTCCGATGGGATCAAGCAGTAATCTAAAACCTTGCCAAGTAAAATACTTACCGCTCCCGAGGTAACCTAAGAGCGAAAACTGAGGGGAAGCAGGGAAGCCCTGTAAAATTTCGTCTGAGACCAAAGAAGTGGTGAGAGAGCGAGCGGGGAGGGTGGCGCGAGATGGTGGGGGAAGGGCGGCGTTGATGGGAGAAAAATTCCTGCAAATTTGCAGAAGTGCCCGTTTCAGTATCATGTCCCGTCTACGCGCAGAGCCGAGCACTGGCACATTCAGCGCCCTTCACAAAGCTCCTGGCCCCGGGCACTGAACTTTACTGGAGCCTGCAGGAATTAAACAGGATAGCAAAGAAGAATCACCCCCACTCAGGTCTTATAGGGCTGATGTGAGAACTTTTTTGTAAAACCTTTCACAAAAAGGAGAAGGAAGAGGCCAAGGGCAGGCGCAGAGCCCTCTTTCTTTGGAAACACCTCGTTGGTAATTAGCATTGGTTTGGCAAAATATTGCACTTCGTCTTGGACTTGGAGAAAATGAGCGCTTTTGAAAAGGGCAAAGGTATGGATCTTTCTGCCTCCTTCCACCAGCGCTGCCAAGACTCGGCCTCAGCACTTTCTACCGAAGAGCTTCTTTCTAGGGTTTTCCCTCAAAGTAATGAATTCAGGGAAGTGCAGCGGAAAAGAGAAGGGGAAAAGCCTTAAAAACAAAACCACAACAACCATAAAAGCCTTTATTTGAGTTATAGGAGGAAGGAAGGAGAAGGAGAAACAGCAAGAAAAGAAGAAGAAACGTAAAGAAAAAAAATGGGCTTTGCAGGTACCCCCAGGGACTCCATGGGTCTGCACCTCGGGACGCACCGCGAGGGTGAAGGTGAAGTCCTAGTGTGTCGCCCCACGACTCCGGGAGATGAAGAAGAAATAGGAGACACCCACCAGACTTTGGAAGAAAACTTTTAATGACTGTGTGCCAGTGAGTGCGTTTTGAAACTTGTTCGGTGTTCCTGAGTCCTTGCCCAAGCAAAGTAATCCCACAGACCCCGGCCGCTTCCATTCCCACCAATGAGAATCCAGTTGTCTCCCCACCCTCTCGGACCCCTTTCGGTCCCAGCTCCTCGCCCCCAGCCGATTGAGACCCAGGCGGAGGAAATTCCAGGCGCCGCCCCTTCCTCCCCCAGCCTGAACGAGGAGTTCGGGCCCCCTCGCCCCTTTCCCTCCCCTCCAGAGCCCTCTCCCCCCCAACCTGTAAACCAGACTAGCGGCTTTGCAGTTTCTGCCGCCCCCACCCCCAGCACAGGTCGCTGCGCTGGGCCTCCTCCCACGATTCTCACCAGCTCTGCTCGCCGCCCGCCCCCCGCCCCCTGGCCCCCGGCCTCTGGCACCCTCCCCCTCGGCAGTGGCTGGCAGCTGGGGAAGTACTGCTAGCGGTTCCCAGACCCGAGCCCTTTGCATCCTCTCTGAGTCCCCCATGTCCCCTTCAGAGCTCTCCAGTCGCCCTCGCGCCAATCCCTACTCGGTTTTACCGCCTTCTATCCCTTCACCCCCAGCAACGCTCAGCTCCCAAGCCTCTCCGCCAGCCCGCCCTGCGACCCCCGGTTCCCCGCTTACGGACCTCGGGATCTCCGCTGCCGCCGCCGCCGTCGCTGCCACCGCCTGCTGTGCCCAACCCGCCGCTCGCCTCTCTCTGCCGCGCGCCCTGGGACAGGCGGACGGAGCTCGGCTCCGGTGGGCTCAGACCTCCCTGGTCGATTCTCCGGCGCGGGGGTCTGTGCTCCCCCGCCCAGGATCTGCCCGGAGCCGCTCTGGAGCCCCAGAGCTGCGGGGAGCTGGGTCTTGGCCGGGCTAGGGAGAAGCCACTGCGTTGCGCTCTGGTAAGCGCTGCCGCGGCCGCCGCCAACTTAACTTTCACGGAGCAGGTCGCAGCCCCGTTGCTCCCTCCGCGTCAGTTCGGTCCGCGTTGCCTCAGCACGGCAGCCCTTGCTGCGTTCGGCTAGGCTTGCTGTCCCCAGGCAGCCCGCCTGACTATCCCGCTCCGGTACCAGGTCCGCATCAGGCCCGGACGGAACAGGGATCCTCGGGCTGCCGCGCACCACGGGAGCGCTTTGCACTTGGACGCCCAAAGCTAATTCTCTGAGCTCTCTTGGCCTTGAGAACCTCTACGTTTAGAGGGCCCAGCCAGAATACCACCACCCCCATGCTTTCGGGGAATTTGGGAGCAGGGATGTTCAATGTGAGTGCACTATCTATAGATTCTCTATTCAGTGTACTCAAAAACTAACGCCCGAGGGGTTGCAAGTCACTGCACACTGGGTAGGGAGAAGAAAGGGTGGCTTACCAGAATTCCGGAGCTTCTTGTTCTTCGTCACAGCCAAAATGACCATGGAGTTTCCGATTAGGTCTACGACAATGGTGATAACCATCGCGCAGAACATAAAGATGATTAGAGCCGGTGGGTAGTCTGGCTGGGGTAGCTTACAGCCAATACAGCCATATGGGGTGGGAACCGCTAGGGTAGGCCCCATGTTGCTGCTGGAGATCGTTAAGATCTCCCAGCAGGCTCAGGATCGGCAGCTGAGTCCAGACAGCGAACACCTGCTCTGTCACCAGGAGCTCCAGGAAAGCGTGCCTCCCTCTCTGAGAGTCAGAAAGCAAATGACAGCATCCCGCCCCTCTCCGATGAGCTTTTAAAGCCTCAAGAGGCGGCCAGCCCCACCCCAAATCCCTCCCCCCGACCAATCACAGTTCCCTGAACACCCCCGCCTTGGCCACTCTCTATTTTTGGACAAATCCACATTGAGGTGTCATCTTGCTTCCGACTGCCTTGTAAGTGCTTCCCCTCTAGCCAGCCCTCCCTGCCTTTAAATCTCCCAGGTACCTCGCAAGCATCATTACTAGCTCGGAGTCCACCTCCCCCTCCCCACCAGCCACTGCGCATTCGTTTCTAGCAAGTTCTTCCCCCCCGCTCCTGTAGTGCAAACACCTGGCAAAGAGACGTAGATTGCAGAGGGAGCGGGAGCAAGGGGACTTTCAAAGGATCCGGTTACAGCCCAAGCCAGTCGGCAGCCCCCAGCAGGATGCGGAGGACAGCCGGTGGCCCCTTGAACCCTAGATGCTTGCCTCTGTCGTATCCTTGTGAGATCCATCCCACACCTCCTGCCCTTGCCTGTCTAGAGCCTTCTGTGCCCCGCGGGGAACTGGGGACTACTGATGGGCGTTCCCACCCCCAATTGGGGTCCCTAATCCCTAGGGAAGTTATCCCAGCTCCTGTTCTCGCCAGGAGCCGCTTGGCTCTCTTGGCGGCAGCCGTGAGGAGCCGCTTATTCCGGTCCAGGTCTTGCACTCTCCGTAAAGAGACTTATTCTGCGCCCAGCTCTGGAAGCAGGGAGCGGGTCTGCACCCTGGGACCCAGGGAAGGCAGCGGCGGCCACTCGGTCCTCAGCTTTGGGGCCAACGGGAGTGGAAGCTCGTCTCCTTCCCAGCTGCGGGCAGCCCAGCGGCGGGAGCCACCGGACGCTTTGGGAAAAAGTAAAGCAGGCAATAAAGCTCTTTTCTTGGGCCCCCTCTTCACGAGGAAACCCAGGACGAGAGGCTCTCCGCTCCCCTCTCGCGGTACGGGGCAGTCAGGCAGGCTGAGGGAGCTGCGCTGCAGCTGTGGGAATGGTGCGGAGATGTCAGGCGGCAAAGCCAAGAAGCCGCTGGCTGACCGGCGACCCCTTCCTCAGTCAGGATTCATCTCGGTCTTTCGACTTTCCCATCTCCTTCTGGGGTTCTCCTTTCGACCCCATCCCTCTGAGGCCGCACCCCCCGCCCCAACCCAGCCGTCCACAACGCGGATCTCTGCTCCCATGCGTCACGGTTACCCGGCGGTGCTCCCAGGATCTCGCAGCACAGGGACCACGGAAAATTCGAATATTTGGGCAAAACTAAAGGGGTGCCATTCTGACCCTCGTTCCTTCAACAATAAAAATGCCCTTGGTCATGGGAATGCATTTTTGCCGCCTACTAAAAGTTACAGCTAGGGTCGAGAAGCCTTCCAAAATCTCAGTAAACACCTTGAAACTTGTTTCAGACTAGTCTTCTTGCCACAGTAGGGGACAGAGGGTTGCACTGGCCAGGAGCGCCATCGTCTGGACACAGCCGCCCTCTTGCCCCAGGGTGGGTGGGGGGACGGACAAGGCAGGGTGGTAGGGGCCGGCTCCGCGACTGACTTCAACATTAAACCTTTAAACGAAAAAAAAGAAAAACAGACACTGTTGAAAACCAAGATTGCACACACTGTCTCTAGCTAAAAAGCCTAAAGTGGGAATGTGTTCCCTTCTTTGAAAATGAAGCCCCCTCCACAATCCTGCGGCTTTCGCCTCCTCGAACTGAATCGGGCGCGAATTACAATCTCCAGCCTGGAGGCTTTTCACATTCATTATCTCACTGCTCCTCGCTGGCTGGAACTCCGGCCGTGCGCTGTTGTATTTTTCCCCGTAATTGCAGCTAGTGAAGGGGCTCCAGTGTCCTCCCCTACACAGCTGTGCGACCTGGTAAGAGGCCGACAGTCAAAAGCCCGTCCGCATAGTGGAAGATTTTGTAGGATGCACATCAGGCTGTTCTTGCTGTTTCCCCGAGAGTTTGAATCCCTTAACTTGTGGGAAGGAGCGGTTTTAAAATCAAATAAGCAAACAAAATATATTTGGGGGGGGGGGAGGAAACAAGCATTCTAGTGACTTAAGACATAAGACTCCCCACCACCCCAAACAAGCCTGTGAGGAGAGCTTGCAAACCCTTAGCAGGCATTGCTACACTCCATTGTGCTGCACTTCTGAGATGAGGTGACCCTAGGGCCCCTGAGAATTCTCCACGGATGTGGTCTGAACAGTCCTGGGATTGAGGAGTAGGCAGGAGAGAGAGGGTGAGCTGACCCCCCGCCCCTGCCCCTGCTTGAACACTTCTTGACCACGACCTGGTGGGACTTGGGTTTTCAATACTAGCAAAGAGAGAAATGTGAATATTTTAGTAATATAGGGGGACAGAATTAAGTATCTAGTATTAATTTTCTTATTTTTATGAACTTGTCTTAATAAAGATTCTGAACATTGCCCCAGTACTAAGAAAATCAGATATTAAATCAGTTGTAAGGATACATATGAGGGAGAGAATCAGTCCCTGTTTGCAAAGGCAAAACAAGTCTTATGTGCAGTAAGTTCAATTACTTTGGAATGGTTAAGGGGGAGTCCTTTATTGGATAGAGTGTAGTGTGCAAGGTTTAAGATTCCAATGGATTTTTAATTAAGTCTCTTTGTGAAAGGCTTCTTAGAAAGCCCTAAATAACTGGAGTGCACAGAAACCCTTTATTTGATATTTAAAAGCTATTGAGATATCCAATCCAAATAGAGGAAACCTGGGACATTCCCTGAGGAATGACAGACAGCAAGTGAGCAGTTTCTGCTCAGGAATGGGTAATCCTTCTGTGCACATGAGGGTACTGCCTGTATCTTCAGTTCTCTGATTTGCAGCGGCAGTGATGGAAGGTTACCTTTCATCAAATGTTCTAAGCTCTCTGTTTAACCCTCCAGTACTATAATAATACCTTGCTTGTATTTAGTGAGCCCAGTTTTAAATAAGCATAACATAGTTTTCAAAAATTCATTAGGAAAATGTTTTCTCATAACAATGTCATTAAATAGATGGGAAAACTGAGGCCCAGAGAGGTGAAATTACTTGTCCAAGGTCATGCCAAGGCTTAAATCCAGGCTGGGTTCCCTCTCAGCTTAAGGTCTTTCTTCCACAGCACAACTTCATAAGACGGTGTTTTGCTCTGGAACTAAATAGTGTGGAGTCTGTGTTCTCTTTTTTATTGCTGCTGTTCTGGTTTTTGTTTGTTTTTATTGGGATGCAATTCATATACCTCATATACCATAATATTCACCCTTTAAAGTGTAGAATTCAGTCGTTTTTTATATCTACACAAAGTTGTGCAATCATCATCACTATCTAATTTCAGAACATTTTTAACACCCCAAAAAGAACCCTCATACTAATCAGTTGTCACTCCATAACCTGTGTAACCTCCCAGCTCCTAGAAACTATGAATCTGCTTCCATTCTCTATGGACTTGCCTATTCTGGACATTTCACAAAAATGGAATCTCTTAATATGTGACCTTTGGATCTGGCTTTTTTCCCTTAGCATAAGGTTTTCAGGTTCATCAATGTAATAGGATGGGTCAGTACTTCATTCCTTTTTGTGGCTGAATAATATTCCATTGTATAGATACACCACATTTCATTTACCCATTCATTGGTGGATGCTTGAGTTCTTTCCACTTTTTGACTATTGTGAATAATGCTGCTATGAACATTTTGGGTTCTCTTTTAGTCCCAAGCAGCCTTGGCCCAAGTTAGACAGGTGGAGGGTCTCTTAGTGCCAGCTCACACCTCCCCTCTCCCCCAGGTAGATCTGGACAGCCAGCCAAGGCCTGTCCCAAGCACTCCAACTTTCTCTGGCCAATGCTTCTCTGAAGCTACTAGATCATTTGTTAAAGCTACATGGTACCATTGATTGATACTCTAACGTGTAAGACTAGCAAAATGAGAATTTGATGCAAACCCAATAAGAATGAAAATGTCTTTCAGTTGGAACACAAGCAGAACATTCTCAATTTGTTTCCACACATTTGGAGATATCTACCTCTTCATAGGAAGTTACACAGGAGCCTATTGGCTGCTTCACCCATCCAGGCCCTGCCCCTCCTGCTGCTCCTATCCCAGCAGCTTAATGAAGGGGGACTTATATTTGACTCAATTCTTGAAAATAAAAACAAGCACAGAACCCAGCCTTACCACTAGTCAAATATGTGACCTTGGGTGAGTTACTTAGCCTCTCTGTGTCTCAGTTACTTCACTATAAAATGCAGATAATCACAGTGCCTCATCATAGGGTTGTTAGGAAAGTTAGGTGAGATAATGCCTGTAAGCACATAGCACACTACGTACAACAGAGTAGGCATTTGAAAAACAGTAGCTCTTATCATGATTATTATCCTGAAAGTTTCTGATACTCTGTCTAGACTCTACTCTGCTGCACTTCTATTAAAAACAGGGGCTCTCTGTGATACCAGGAAACTCTGCACCCAGCACACCCAGGCCCCAATTCCTGGCAGAAGCCAACCAATGGGCACTCACCAACATCCCCAGCCCCTGTGAGTGTGTCATGGAAAGGGACATACAGAGTGACTTCTCTTTTCACTGTGCCCCACCCCCACCCCCGAGATGCTTCACTGACACAGTTCGTATCTTTTCCACAAGAAAGAACAATCAAATTCCTTGACATCGGTTCAGTATGAAAGTAAGAAGGATGGTTGGCCTAGAAATACATGAGATCCCAAGTGCATAGGTAGCTGGGAGCGCTCAGGCAGGAGAATCTGGGTTTCAATGGAGCATAAGGCCTAGTCCAGGCTAAGGGAGTTCTGGTTCCAAGTCAAAGGTGGGGCCAGGACTCCAGTGGTAAGGCTGAATCTTCAAAGGAACTGAGTAGAGATTTAGGCTGGGATCAAGACATTGGAACTGAGAACCAGCCATGTCATAACATCGGCCAACTCAACAGCAGTTTGGGACAGGTACTGATTTTTTCTTAATCAGACTGCATCAGGTCACATTTTCTTTACCAACTTGGAGACATCATTCACAATTGTTAAATGAACAGAGAGAATGATTGTCCTCTCTAAGTCTTCCAGGCTTAATTCATCATGGTTAGAACCACTTTATCTTCTCCCTGTGCCTGAGTCATTAGAGAGAGCAGAACACATCCATTTCCTTTAGTGCAATCAGGGGCTCACCAAAATAATTAGCAGCCAGTATTTTCAGGATCTTAGTGTCTGATAAAGACTACAGGTTAGGTGGTTCAAATCAAAGGGTGACCAGGGAGAGAAGTACATTAATTACTTGTAGTAACACTTGGATTCTCTTCCCCTTGTACAATTTATCTGCTAATTAGAGCTTAATGAACAATATCCATTTTCTTAACTTCTCATCCTAGCCAAGGATGATCACCTGTGGATTCAATGACTGTCCCTTTTATTAATCATCCTCATGACTTCTCATGCAACAAGCCCTCCTCCACTTGCTCTATGAGTTCTGCTTCTGCCCACACTACTGCAGGACATAGGCCGTGGGTACCCATCAAGGCCCAAATCAGTCCTCTTTTTGAGGACCCTGTGGGTCCACTAAGTTCCTAATAACAGCTAACACATATGAATGTGTGCTTCCTAGATGTCAGACTGTTCTGAGTGCTTTGCTGATATATCTCATTTAAGCCTCACAATAGCCCTATGAAATAGGCACTATTATTATGCCTGCTTTACAGATGAAGAAACTGAGGCCCAGAAAGGTTAAGTCACTTAGATAATAAAGTCACACAGATAATAAGCAGTAGAACCAGAAGTCTAACTTGGGCAGTCTGGCTCCAGAGTCTATGCTTTAACCACTGTGCTTCATGACTCATTTGCAGGCCACACCTGATTCCTGGCTCTAGAGCATTGGTTCTCAAATTTAGTCATGACAGAGCAGCCAGGAGTGCTTTGGAAATTGCAGCTTTCTAGGCCTTTCCCTAGAGAGAAGGGGAAGACCTTGGTAGGTCTGGAAGGGGCCCTGGAATCTGCATGTTTCCCAAGTATCTCTGGCGATTCTGATGCAAGCAGCCCAGGGATCCCTTTAGAGAAATCCTGCTCTTAACTCAGCCCTGCCCCTGGCCCTCGGTAATTTCAGGACATCTAGGTCTGTCATCCAGTGACTCCTGCCAAGTTTGTTCCTGAGAGTTTACACACTAGTCCCTGCTGGGACTTTATAAACTTGTTCTAGTATATAAGATCTTGCTTTTACCCTCAGACTAAACCCTACCCTGTATCACAGTCCTGGTGATGGGGTTCCCATCCCGATGTCTGATTATAACCTGACCAGCTCCCTGAAAATAGGGTGACCAGAGGCCTGACTATGGCCACTTTCCTGTTGCCAGACTAATTCTGATGGCTTGCCTGAGTAGGGTTGCCTATTTA